GTATATTTAATTCATTTATTACATAAAAAAATATTATGTAATTAACATTATATAATGAAAAGTAGTCTTGCACGTACGAACCTGATTGTAAAAAAAATGCCCATCATAAGATTAGATTGTAAATTTTATATAGCACAGGGACAAAAAAAATTTCAAATAAAGACCACTTTATCACTATAAATAAAATACAGGGACTAGTATTTTTTAAAAATTACATGAACTAGAATGAACTTTTATGAATGTCTCCATTGCATTACAAAGTTTTGTAACAAAATAAATGAATGTAATTAATGATCTCATTTTATTGCATTTTGATGCTTTCTTTATTAACCAGTAGAGTTTTTTATATTTATATATTATTTATTATTCATCAAGTAAAAATTTTAAATTGAAAGTAAGTATTTTTATTCTGATTTGATTTTAGGGGTAAAAAAATTATGTTCGGTAAGTAACAATTTGGTGGTGGTAGAATTGAAAAAAAAATATTCATTTTGATCTGATGTAAAATCAATCACATAATTAAGGGACTCGTTTGTAGATAACAGTTTCTGGATGTTTCGTGTATCCCCCCACACTGGATTGACACTAGTGACGGTGTCGTGGCTGGGATCTACTGGCCGTTGATTTACCGAGGAGTCAACCTTTATGGAAAGGGTTTGCTACGGAGCCTCATCTTAGGCAACCGACAAAGGACGACACCGTTCGATTGCTTTCTGCATTGTGGAGTGGGCATTGCCTTATTGGGCGATATTATTTATGTGCATGGACCCGTCCAAAAATTTCCCTCTGTCGTCGTCGACGTGGAATGAAAGGGAGTGGCTTTGCTTGCGTTTCAAAGGAAAGACTCTTTTGCTTCCACTTCAGGAAATTGACGGTTAGGGATAACTCGGAATTACCAAAAAAAAGAGCTTAGAAGGCCAAAATATAGTAAGCACTGCTTTTGTTAAAAAAATAAAATAAAATTACAGTGTTGTAGTGTTTTTCTTTTGAGTTTGATGTTAAAAATATTTTAAGTTTAGCTAATATTTCAATAAGTTGTATGATACTCGAATAGTAATTAATAATATTTTATTGGTTATTTTTTAAATTTATTTTAAAAATAAATAAAAAATTATGTAAATTTTTTTTTATTATTTTTTGGGAGTCATGATTTTTATTCACTCTCTTCTTTTTATTTATTTTTTTATTTAATATAAACTTAGAAAGTACTAGTTATCCTATGAAATTTTCTCTAAGAATTTTTTATCAAATAATCTTAATTGTATTTCCTATAATTTTACAATGTATTTAAAAAAATTATTAAATTTCCTTAGTGATGATTTCAAAGTTGAAACCCAAGAAATCAAGGGAAAAAACAATTTTTTTTAACCATGAGATTAACTAACTTCTCAAATCCATCCTAAAATGTTCTTAAAATATTAATAAATTTTTAAAACATAAATTTTTATGATTTTTTGAGTTTTCAACTATATTTATTTGTGCTTGTCTTAAAAAAATCAAATTTTATTTTTTTAATTTAAGTTTTTTTAATGTTTTCTAATGATTTTAAGGTGATGGTGTTAAAAAAATATTCATTTATTAAAGTATGTTTGCTATATCAAATCATATTTGTTCTTAATACTACAATTATTAATTATTTAAATAATATTTGAAATTATTTTTAAATCTTATTTCATATTATGCAAGTATTTGCAATCAATATTATTTAAAAATAGATAAAAAAAAATTTTAATTCACCTAAAATGATTAATCATCCCTTGATTATTTAAATATTTTCATATAATTTATGTTATATCAAATATCTTCTTATTTGTTATTATTTATTATGACAATATGTAGTATAATCAAAACATAATATTTTTTTTTTATATAAGTTGACTTGGTGATTTCAAATTTAGATATCACTTATCCAATTATCATATATGCATTTTCATAGATATAGATGATATTTTATATAGAATTCTCATGCGGGTTGATTCAGTGTATATGTCATCTGATAAGTACCTACATATTAATTATAAATATTTTTTATATATCGATCTATGAGAAAAAAAAAACTATAATATATATCTATCTCAATAACTCTAAATAATATTTATTTCTAATAGAGCATTAACTATAAACATTAGGAATATTCAACAATATTTTAATGTAATTGAAATATCATAATTATAATAACTTTATAATTTTTTTATAAAATATTTTTTTCTTGTAGTTTTATATTTATTTTAAATTTATTAATCAAATATTTGACAAGTACTGAAAATAAATAAGTTATTATTAATAATTAAATATATTTTTACAAACAAAATCAATATCATGTATAATTAATTAAGATTGTAACACGAATAAGCTTCATGATCGAATAAAACTTTAAACCTATGCCTTTTATGGGCGTTGCCTCCAGTCCTGCGCCGTGGAGAGTTGAACCATTAATTTCAAATTGCATGGAGCAATGAGCAATCTAAACATAGGTCATGGGTACAAGAATAAACTTCATTATCCATTAAAACTTTAAGGTTAGACCTTTTATGGGCCTGACCTTGATGCGGGCAGGTGGCAGGCGATAGAGATCCCCAACTCATTAATCATAATTATTAGTTTGAAAGGATGAATATTCAGGTATTCTAGAGAATGATTAATATTTAAGCATTAGGATTAGGATTAATAATATTTGCATTAAGACATTATGGATCTTCTGTTTCATAAACTTTGCTTATTTCCACTGGCTAAATTAAGGATTAAATGGACAGAACTAATTATCCCATTTTCCCTGCTAACCTTCTTACAAAAACGAAACTTTTTTCTGCAGATTAATGCATATGTTATCAACTTCTACATTTCCTTGTGCCAATACAATTCTTTTTCTCACTTTGATGGTGGTCTTTACACAATTATTTGTTTACTCATTTCTTCTCATAAACAACAAAAAGAATCTCACATCAATTGTAATGTTCAGCCATTGTTTCTCATAATTCAAGGTCTGAAGGAGGTAGAAACTGCTCTGTTGTCAAACCCCATATGTTAAAATCTACCTCATCAATTTTCCAGTGTTCTTCCATTTCTCTCTTGTGGTTTGCAGATTGCTCTCCGTATCTGAAGACCGTGACACGAGTCTGACCACTATGTGCTATGTTGACACCGTCGACGTACCTATAGTCATCCATTATCGATTCTGCGCTCGTCTCCCAGAATATATCCTCGCCGTCTTTCGTTCTTAATCCTATCAGCCTTGAGTCCTCAAATTGAATCAAGAGGCCTGACCTCTGGCTAAAGTATCCCCACATTGTATGGTGAATTATCTCGTAGTTAGGACCACTTTGTGCCTCTCGAATTGCTGGACTTGTCTCTAGCTTGAGTATAAAGCAGTCCTCATCTTTTATTAGTTTCTCTCCAATGCAGGTTGCATCTATAAATAAGTTTGCTGTGGACCTGGGATCCAATCCCTGCCATAACTTACTGTGTTAGAACTAATTAATCGGACGAAATCAGAGGACTGAAAATTCTAATGCATACATTCTACATAAACTTTCACAGTGTAGTATATGATTGATGCTACAAAATGTAAATCAAAGGAATGATCCTAACCTGCAAGAATCGGCGCAAGGGTCTAGGAGGACCCTTTGAAATCGGCTTTCGTTGATTAGAAGAATGCCTCCATGAGATCTTGCCATTGCTTCCACATATCATCTTACATCCTGACACAAGAAGCTCTAACATCCACAAGTCCGGATCTTTCTGCCAAAGCACAAATCCACCTGTTTCCTCGCTGCCTTTCACGTTTATGGTCTGCTCCCCTTCATGAAATTCTGATGCCTCAATTTTCACCTCACCAGTTACGCACATGCTGTGCACTGCGTTTAATGCTGCTTGTCCTCCTGTAGCTGCAATGTATTGTTGCACAATATATTTGGCTGTTGAAGCTTGCTGTCAAAAAACATTGTAACACTGTCATTTTCTTAGAAAAGTCATGGCAATTGCTCATTTTTCTGTAAACAATAATTCTGTTGTAAAATAAAAATTTCAGAGAGATATGGATGTTTCTATAAAACCCTCTTACAATTGAACAATCTTTGACAGGTTTGTGAACCGAATGGCCTACTTGCACTTGAAGAGGAATAAGAGGAGATCCAACCATGTAAAGAAGGAATCTTAGCTCATTAATTCGCGCTGCAATGAGCGGTTGTGACAATTTTTCGGAAGTTTGAGCCCTCATCCATGTAAGCATATTTTGCCAGCGTAATTCGGCATTGCTACCCATGCTAGTGTACATTTCTTCGGGTATTGGGATCTCAAGAACAGTCTCCAGGCCATCTTCTCTATCAATATTTGGACAGAGTTTCCTCATGATGAAAAGTACAGAAATAGAGAGCCTAGAGAATGATAGAATGTTGGTTAGAGAGTCAAGAGAAAGGGGGAGGAACAAGAATTGAGAGTCAAATGCTATACGTTCTCTCTTTTCTCATGCATTTACCAGGGACGGTAAACAGGAAAAAATGCGAGGACAATTGGTAAAAAGAGACTTGCCTAAAGGCTGGCCTTGCTTGTAGGTTTCATATGGGCATGATCAATATTAGATTTTGATTGTTTACAAGTTTCTATTTTAGGGGACCAACCCCCATAAATATTGCTGAAGAATTTTTTTTAGAGGAGCAATCCACAATGATGCTGCCAAATTTTCTCCTAGGCTAGAGGCAAAAATATTTCGTTGAACAAGGGTAGAACTTGAGAGATGAAAAATGTTTCGTGGACCATTCTTGCCGATTCTTGGATTTCCCACTAAAAATAGACAGCTAGCTGACATTACTTACAGTCCATTTAAAAAACAACCATTTTTAATCCATTCCAAGCAATACTGATGAAGCAGATAGAGGAATGGGAGAAGCTTGTTGTTTTTCTATGTATGCTTCTATCAGATCATAAGCCGCAGCATCCCCGTCTACCGCTGGTATCTTCTAGATGCATGTAAATTATTAAAAAATACTATAAATTATATTTTAGAATTTTATATAATGATTTAAATTATTATGTTTAAATAATTATTTGATATGATATTAAAACTTTAATGATTAAGTAGTTTCAAGTTCGAATCTCATTATTTTTATTTATTTGATAAAAATTAAATACAAGATAATATAGGTTTGTGTAAGTTTGAAGTCCAAAAAGTTTTTACTTAAAAGAATGTATTAGAAAATAATATAAATTATATTCTAAAATTTTACCTCATAGCTTAAATTATTAAATTAAAATAATTTTTTAACAAAAAAAATATTCATGTCACTTATAGAATGGAGATCAAAGCATGCCCAGGATAAACATCATAGTCAAGATAAAAGAAGATGAAAAAATAAAAAAAGGTTTTCTTGCATCAACTACTTATGGTTATGTTGTTTGAATTTTGAATTTTTTTTATAGTGAGATAAAATATTTTTCAAGTGAAAAAATAATTTCCAAACATAACACAAATAATAACTAATAACTAGGTGTGTTACACATGGAGATATGTTATGCATGGAGCATCTAGTAACTTAAATTTTCCTTATCTAACAAATTAATTCACGCTCTCAAAAGTCATCATTTATATTTTGAATTAATAATTATATAAAATAAAAAATAATAATTCAATGCTCATAGAAGAGATGATATGATAAAAAAAAACAAGGAATGAAAAGGAAAAAAGAAAGAAAGAATGATGCGTTGTATATATATCAAAACTTTAATAATAACACTTTCAATATTATCAAAAAATATATTGACGAATAAAATTTAAAAATACTATAGAAAGCTAACTTTAAAATTGATGATAAGATGCCAACAAATAAATATGTTATTGTTTTTAAATGACACGTATAACTTATTATTAGTTCTAAAATTGGTTTTCCAATAATTCATCTCATGAATATAATTCTATAGTAATAAAGTAATAAGAGTGTTATTATCGAAGCTCTAGGATATTTACAACACATCAATTTTTTGTCTTCCTCTCTCATCTCTTGTCTTTTTGTGCAATGTTATCGTAATTGAATTATTTTTGTTTATTTTATAGTTATTAATTCTTTATAAAATATACACTTTTGAGAGGATAAATATTGCACAACACATTTAATTGTGCATGTGCTATCTATGCGCATAATAACTACAATTATTTTTTCAATTGAGCTGTTTTAAAAAATATTTTCTCACTGTGCTGTTCTTGAAAAAAACTCTTGGATTTTTTTGTTTCAAAGAATTAATATGGGATTTGATTTAAAAAAAAAAGAGTAGTACGATTATAATTTAACTTAATTCATGTATAAAATGATGTGATTTGTAAAAAGAGAGGTTTAATGACAATCAAAGGCAATGATTTGGTCAGAGAGATAGAAAATCCTTTTTATATCCAACAATAATTAACATTAATTGTTATAAAAAAATAATTAGACTCAAAACTTTTTATAAAGAATTAATATTTTTCTTCGTTACTTAAGATTTTAATTTATTGTTTTCTAAACAGTAATTAAGAGCAAATTATGGTTTTTTTTTTTTTTTTTTTTGGGAGGGGGGTGCGGCGCGGGCGCTGAGAAATGTGACAACTTTTTAAGGTCGATCGTAATTCTATACCTTGTGGAGGTTATTGTAATTTAACAAACAATATATGACAGCAATAACATAGCAAGTTTTTGCTTGTTTAATTTGCTCTAAAGATTACCCACTTAGGCTACACTGTTTTATTACCACGCTACATATCACTCTTCACAGCCTCAGCTCTACCACTTATACCCTTGCTAAATAGCTCTTCTATGTCTTCCAAGGACCTTCCTTTGGTCTCTGGGAATAGGAAATAGAAGAAAAACCAGGCAAGCACAGCGATGCCAGCAAACAAGAAGAAGGCTCCTCCAATGGTGATTGCTTCATAGAGCGAAATAAAACTCATGGAAATAGTGGCATTCATGAGTCTATTCACAGCAACCCCAATACTATACCCTTGTGCTCTTAGCTTCAGGGGGAATATCTCCGAGCTGTACACCCATGTCACAGGTGCAAGTCCAATATTAAAGAAAGCTACAAACGTATAAGTAGAAATGATGCTAAGGCTTAGTGCCCACACCAGCTGCCCTCCATGGTGATGCTCCACTATAGTCAAGCAAGTTCCTAAAACTGCCAGGGCTGCTATGATACCTGCTGTGCTTACAAGAAGAAGGCGCCTTCTCCCCACTCTATCCAGCAAGAAAGTGGAAATGAATACAAATACGAACTTTGTAAGCCCCACGCCAACACTTGCACGCAAGAGCTTTTCCTTGCCAACAATACCGGCTTTCTTAAAGATTCTAGGACTGTATAAAATAACTGCTTCAATTCCAACTGCATGCTCAAAGAAATGGATTCCAACCGCGGCGACCAGTATCCAACGGACTGCTGGTGTTGGCCTTATAATTAGTTCTTTCCAAACCCCTTCACCGTGAGTTTTCTTCAGGGGATCGGGCTTGACAAAGTCATCATTGCAATTCACATCAATCCCAGCTGCTTCTTTTATGTCACGAAGACGGGTTTCAGCTTCTTCTTCTGAGTTGGATACTCTGCGCAAGATTTTCTTGGCTTCTCCTAAACGACCCTGCATTACTAACCACCTTGGAGACTCTGGCATTTTAAGGATGCCCAAGGCCAAGGCGAGTGAAGGAATAGCTGCAATACCAAGCATTATCCTCCAACCAAGCTTCAGGTTCAATCCTCCGAAAGCAACATTTGATATGTAGCCGAGTAAAACACCAATACTTATTCCAAGCTCCGGTAGACATGTCAAGAAGCCTCGGTACGATGGCGATGAAACTTCTGCCGAATATACAGGAGCAATCATCAGAGCAAAGCCAACACCAATCCCAGCAATGCATCTCCCCGTCATCAGGACACCATAATTTGGAGCGTACCCCATCAGGATTGAACCAAGCATGAAGATGATGCTGGCTGCAAAAATTGTGTATCGCCTGCCAATATAATCAGAAGTTCTTCCAGCAAGAAGAGAACCGAACAGGGCACATATGTTTAAGATTCCAGCAAGTATTTCCACTTCCGTGTCATGGATTTTCAGTTCATCTTTTATGAATATCATGGCTCCACTCATTACTCCAGTGTCTGAAAAAAGAAGAAGAAGAAAAAACCTTTGAATTATGGCATATTCCACAACACCCAAATATAAGAAAAAGGTTTTATTAATCAAAGATTACAAGAATTATATATGAATGGTTAGAATATTATGATCCCACGACATTTTCCAGTTCCAGAAAACACTGTTTAAAGTCAAGAACGAGAACTCTACATGGGATCCAAGAGGGAAAGGAGATCGAATTAAGGAACTCACCATATCCAAATATAATGGATATCGTCGAAGCAACTATAGCACATCCAGCAGCATACATGTTCAATTTTTGCTGGTTTTGTCCACCACCACCCTCTATTGACACCATGCTGATTAATTGCTCTCCCTGTCTCGTTGAACCTAATCAGAAACTAAAAATCTTATCAAATAACTATATATGTGTGTAGGAGAACACAGTTTTTTTCACAATTGCTCCGGTAACCAAAGCTGACCTCCACCTCTAATTATATAGGCAAGCGATGTGACTAAAACGTGTCAAAAAATGAACTCCTAATGTCTTGTGGCGCCCACGTTCACAGGTAATCTTACAGGCAGAAATCTGCTAATTTTATCACTTCAATTTGTAACCGACAGACGAAGGTCATCAGGCCTCGCCAACCCGATAAGTTTGGGTAGACAACTTCATTTTGGCAATGAAAAACTTGGGATTAATCAAAATATGCACTTCAGGATTTGCATCAAACCATTAGTACCCTCTTTTTATTTAGGATTTTGTATTTTATTTAGCATATGATTTTAGTTTATTTGTCTGTGGATTTGCTATAAATAACATCATGATAAAAAAATAAATAATGGTCATCCTTCATCGTCTTCGTTGAAATTCGTAGCAGTCACTGTCTCCGTTGTCTTCATGGTCCAATTTGCAAGGAAATTCCAGTTAAGATTTATTAACTTATTTGTGGATAAGATTTGCCAGGCAATCCAACCTGTATAGTCAACTAAACCGCCGCAACTTGCAAGCCACTGACTTGGCGTCCTTGGGCTTGCAAGACGCCGTGATAATAAACAATAATAAATCGTTTTCCGATACGATAAACCTGTGCTAATTACAGATTCGGTTCGCATGCACTTATCTAAAACTAGTAGCAAGTTTCAATGTTTAATCACCAATTTTCCACGTCATTTTGAATTTAAATGCAGTTTGCCAATTAACATTTTAGTCAAATGTTATTTATCCAAATCAAAATGCTAACTTTTAGGCATTTTAGTGGTCGTGATCAGTTCAGGATGACCCAGATTAGGAATTACGATTTTTTTATTTTTTTTTCGAATTTACTTATTTCTAAAATTAGTTTTGGTATTTCTGATTTGTTTAATTGCCTAGTTTATCCCTTGCTCAAATAGGACATACTATTTACCTCGTCTTGTACGCTTTTGATTGCCATAATTATCTCATATTAAGAAATTATAGACTTTAAAATGTTCTTCTACAGTACTTACTGTGTTTCTTTTTAAGGGTTTTTAAATACTAAAAATTTCGTATCAATACCATAAGATTTTCCCCATATACATTGTGTCATCAATCCTTACTTCACATGAAAAGAAAAAACAGAAGAAGTTATTCTCCACTAATCTCTTATACACGCCAACACTTCAGATTATATTTTTATGTTTTAAAAATAATTTTTAAAAATACATTGCATTCTTTAGTATTTTTCTATTATTTTGATATGTTAATGTTAAAAATAAATTTTAAAAAATAATCATTTATCATAATACTAAACAAGCTTGTAATATAATGTCTTAGGAGAATAAAAATCTCATTTTTATAAAAGTAAAATTCTAACTAACCCTTTAAAGCAGATACTGAAAACTGTTGTAATTGTTTTTATTACAAGGCACACTTATCTCTGTATATGTTTTATATCTTTATACAACCCGAAACCATAAGGTTAGGCAATCAAAAACATATAACGGAAAGACTAGTAATCAGAGATATGTAACAGAAAGAATAAACTTATCCTAAAATCATGGGAATACAAAGACATGGTATGGACATGAATGGTGACAGCTATATTGGAGGTGGAGGTGGCATTGCTGTGATTATTTTAGTTTTCTTAATACCCTCTAACTTCAAAATGGATAATATGAATCTACTAAATTATAAAAGTTTATGTGATGTTGTTGTGTTTATAAGTACTCTCACGTTCTTTTCAATAAGTTAATTTTTTTTTAAAAATAGATTTGTACTAAATATTTTTACTTTAAAAAGTTCAATGAAAAAATATTTAATTTATAATAACTAGCCTTACTTTTTTGTACTGTGTTTGCTTTTGTATTTTTAAAGTGTTTTTTTTTTAATTTTTTTTTTTTAAAATTTAAATTAAATTTTTTACATGTTTTTTAAAGTTTTGATGTATCAATGTTAAAAAATATTATTTTAATATATTTTTAATTAAAAAATATTTTTAAAAAATACTTTCTATCAAAGTTTTAACCAAGAAGAACACATGTAGGAGAAATAAAAAAGATAATAAATTTTAATTTTGTTATGGGAAATTACTTTTCGTAGTAAAATGATATATTATTTTGGCATACAAGAATGATATCATTTAATGCATCAGAAGTACATAAGAAAAAATAAAATGATGTCATGAAAACTGTTAAAAATGCTAGAAATATCATCTTTGCATGTGCCCAATGGGTATCTGGAGTAGCGTGAAATCTGTAATCCTTACTTCACATGAAAAGAAAAAACAGAAGAAGTTACTTCTCCACTAATCTTTTATACACGCCAACAATTCGCATTATATTTTTATGTTTTAAAAATGATTTTGGAAATACATTGAATTCTTTAATGTTTTTCTATTATTTTGCTGGGTTGATATTAAAAATAATTTTTAAAAAATAAAAAATATTTTAAAAAATAATTGTTTATTACAATACTAACCGAGCTTGTAAAATAATATCCCAGGAGAATAAAAATCTCATTTTATAAAAGTAAAATTCCAACTAACCCTCTAAAGCAGATACTAGAAACTGTTGTAATTGTTTTTATTACAAGGCACACTTATCTCTGTATATGTTTTATATCTTTATACAACCCGAAACCATAAGGTTAGGCAATCAAAAACATATAACGGAAAGACTAGTAATCAGAGATATGTAACAGAAAGAATAAACTTATCCTAAAATCATGGGAATACAAAGACATGGTATGGACATGAATGGTGACAGCTATATTGGAGGTGGAGGTGGCATTGCTGTGATTATTTTAGTTTTCTTAATACCCTCTAACTTCAAAATGGATAATATGAATCTACTAAATTATAAAAGTTTATTTGACCTTGTTGTGTTTATAAGTACTCTCATGCTCTTTTCAATATGTTAATTTAAAAAAAAATAGATTTGTACTAAATATTTTTACTTTAAAAAGTTTAATGAAAAGATATTTAACTTATAATAACCAGCCTTACTTTTTTGTATTGTGTTTGCTTCTTTTTTTTTTAAGTGTTTTTTAACCTTTTTATTTGAAAAAATTTTAAATTAAATTTCTTACATATATTTTAAGGTTTTGATGTATCAATGTTAAAAAATATTATTTTAATATATATTTAATTAAAAATATTTTCAAAAAATACTTTTTATCAAAGTTTTAGAGTGCAAAAAACCCAAAGTTTTAACCAAGAAGAACACATGCAGGAGATATAAAAAAAATAATAAATGTTAATTTTTTTATGGGAAATTACTTTTCTTAGTAAAATGATATATTATTTTGGCATACAAGAATGATGTCATTTAATGCATCAGAAGCACATAAGAAAAAATAAAATGATGTCATGAAAACTGTTAAAAATGCTAGAAATATTATCTTTGCATCTACCCAATGGGTATCTGGAGTAGCGTGAAATCTGTGTTTTATAATTTTTAAATTAACTTTTAATTATTTTTAAATATATATTGATATTAAAAATAATTTTTAAATTTTTTTTAAAAACAATTATTACTAGTACAGTAAACGCTCCTCCAACTCAGAAACTGTGACTTACACTTCATGAGTGTACTCTGCAGACAGAAAAAAATACTGTACCATTGATTTTTAGTCAGTTTCGAAGCACAGTGAATTTATATTTAAAAAATAAATTAATTTTTATATATTTTAAATCATTTTAATATGTTTATAATAAAAATAATTTTTTAAAAATAAAAAAAATATTAATTTAATATAAAAAAATACTTTAAAAAATAATTCCAATTATATTTTCAATAATACCCTGCGAGCAAATGGTTGTCTGTTGCACCCAAGTGGATGCGCTCCATACAAAAAGGTGGGTCACTGGTTCCACTTAATCAACTATTCATTGGTCATATATCACCCATTGGCTAGACGCGACACCC